GTGTGTTTGAATGGAGGTGATTATTAGGTGGAACGTGAGAATTGTTGAGACTTGGGGCCACATCCACGTGGGATGTTAGCTTTCAGGAAAGGAAAAGATGAAACCAAACCACCCCCTACACTTAATGGCTGAAGAAGCAGAATAAGAATCCGGACTCCTGGGTAGGGTGACCCAGATGGCAAGTGTGAAAAAGCGGGACACTTTTTTTCGGGGGTGGGAGGGTATAGTTGCGTATATAAGACAAAGCCCCTAATATCAGGATGGTCCCAATAATATCAGGAGGTCTGGTCACCCTACTCCTGGGTTCCATTTCTGGGCCTGCCATTGGCCTGCTCTGAAAGTTACCTCAGCTGGAATTTTCACATTAAACTGTTTAAAATCAGGCCTTACTTTGTGCAGTGTTCAGTACTCCACAGGGCATCTTGACTTCAGGAGGAGGTGACTCTCTGCATCTTTGAAAATCAGGCCACTTTTTTAGGTGCTTAAATATTGGTGGGTGGTTAGGGACTAAATTTAGACAGCAAAGTTGGATCCTGTTGGGAGAGACTGACAAAGGCACAAGGGATAGTTGGGGACCCTCGCTGCCTTTTGACCTTTGCAAACTCTCCCTTTGACTTTGACCTTGTAACTCAAGTAACTTCGTCCTCATACTTGCCTCGTTGATTAATTTGGCTACCTGTGACTCAGTTTACACACATTAAGAATTGTCACTTCTATTCTGATCTGCCCCATAGGGCAAGGGGGGATCTCCAGAAGAGAAGCTCTAGAGAAGTGTTTTCTGTATTACTGCAAAAAACATCTCTGGACAGATGAAAGTGCTGATCCCAGAGGAAGGGTAAATTCTCTAGAGAGTGTCTTTTAAGAGCAAGAAATGTATAAAGTGCACGTAGGGGGAATCATCACTGCTGTGTGCCTTGGCTTCCCTACCTATAAGATGGAGATGATGGGCAGGTGTTACTGTGGCAAACTGTATCGCACTCCTCAGATGAAAGGTATAATGGGAAAGAGTTATAATTGTTCAAGTTTTCTGAGCTTTAGGTGGATAGGAAATGGGATAATGGACACAATACCTCTTGCTGAGAGTTGCTTATAAATCTTAAAGGAACCTGCCCCTCCTCCCTTTTAAAATGGGTGTGAGAGGTTGGACCCCCCTTTCGGGGTGCCACCAGATATGCTGGAGTCCCACTGAGCCCGCCCATTCTACGAGCCTGGGCTTCCTCACCCTGTCCTTGCTGTGCCAGGCCCTCAAGCCTTCTTTAGCACACACACAGGGAAGGCCACACCCAGCTGCAGATACAGACTGAAATCATCTCTGTGTGGGAGGATCAGCTCGGGGATTTACCCAGTACTGATGTGCACTCCTCCTTTGGGGTGTAAACCCAAAAGAATATTGTCTTGCACTGTATAGAAAGCTCTGTACAATGCAAGCTCATAAAAATCACCCCATCCCTCAATGTGGAGGGAGATAAGCACAGCTTTTTGCCCCTTCCCACCCCCAACCCCCAGATATGAATTGCACAAACTCAGTTTTGGTATAAACAAGAAATAAGTTTATTAACTACAAAAGCTAAATTTTAAGTGATTATAAGGGATAGCAAACAGAACAAAGCAGATTAGTGAGCAAATAAAACAAAACACACAGACTAAGTTTAATACACTAAATAGGTAGGATATAAATTAACAAATTCTCACCCTGAGTGATAAGCAGGATGGCAGATTCTTAAGGCACAAGTTGCCTGGGCTTTCCCAGGTTTTCATACACAGTCTAAAGACGCTTCTAGCTTGGGACCATCACTTCCCACAGTTCAGTCTTTGTTCCTCAGGTGTTTCCAGGTGTGGTGTTGTAGGGAGTGTGAGGTTCCCCCATAATGTCATTGTCCCCCTTTTATATCTTCTCCCCACTTGCTAGAAAGCTCTTTTGCTGTGACATAGGTCAAACAGTTCCCATTGTGTGGTGCTAACTCTGAGAGGTTTCTATTGTACACAATTCCTGGGGTAATCCTTGTGCTTGTGCACATTTCCTCAGTAAGCCATTAACATCGTTTGGCCTCTTTACTCTTGAACCTGAAAGGCTGCTTGTGGGTGTTTTCAACCTCAGGACATGTTTCAGCGACACATACATAGCCAAACTTCATAACCTCACATATGACAATAGCACATACAATCCAACGAGATATTACTGTTGAGACTTTAAGAATGACACCTCACAAGGCATACTTTGTATAAAGCACATCCTAATTACATGACAGTGGTGAATATTGGGGTGTCAGGATGTCACAATGGGGGTTATGGTTTCCACAGAGGATGGAAACAATGCCATCTCTTTTAGATTCTGGGTTGGACTCTGAATTCAAGTTCTGGCTGTCTGAGCACAGAAGCTGCATTTACTAGAGAGGGTTCCTCGGCGTGCTGTGTATCTCAGAACAGCAGTTTCCCCTTTGAATCACACTGTTTCATCTCATCAGGCATCCTGCCTCTTAACAGTGATCACACCAGCGCTTGAGAGAATGATGAGCAGTCTCCTCCCTTCCATAATGCACTTACCCAGTTGTTTAATGCTGTATTTCTGGGGTACAAAGAAAAAATATTTCCATCACTTTGTCTTGAAGCATGGGATTTGATTTTTTCCCTCATGTTGTCTTACATTCCATATGCAAATATTACTAGTGGACCCCTTCAAATCCAGCCCCACCCAGTATCTGACCTGACCTTTTCCTGCTGCAGAATGTCTATGGAGAGCCAGCCTACTGCTTATAGTCAGCGTCTCATGGGATTTGGCCCTTGATCATGTGTTTGATCCTTTAGGTATGTAATCATTAGAATTTTGGCCCTAGGTGCACCCTAGATTTGGGGTGCTTGGTTCTGGCAACCATCACTTTCACTCCAAAGCATTTCCAGAATCGTTTGTGCTGACTTCAGTGAGGATCCCGATAATGGCTGCTCTTAGAGGCCCCCACATAGAGATTGGTCTCTCCCCATGCAAGGTGCATTTTACTGACCTCCTGCAGATGAGTGACCATGGTGGTGTCTCCTAACTGTCGTGCACTATGGGGGCTGCCTATTATACTGATGCCTAAATGCAGCTCTTGGTACATTAGAAAGGGGGCACTAAGTCACTAGCACCAAAAAAATAGTGGTTTGGTTTCGGGGGAGGACAGTTGCAGCTGAAGAAATGATGAAAATTGTTTTTCATACTGGAGTCTTTGGATGTCCAGGAACCCAAGGTCCTTATCTTTCACACAAGTAAAATAACAGAAGTAGGCTATTCTGTTCGTCCATTTTATTGCCAAGAGGCATTTCTTTGGCATAACAGCATCCTGGTGTATCCTAATAGGGTCTAGCTGCCCTGAGAGGACAGCTGCTGTCAGAATACTTTAAAGTTGGACAGAACATTTCCTGCTTTTTGAGGTATATCAGCAAACATTCTGACCGCCTCCACTGGGAGACTATTTTTATACTGTCCAGGGGCTGTCTTATATTATGAGATCGCTATCACTTTTTTTTATTTGAATCCTAACTGCATGTCATAGGATGACCTTAAAAATATCATCTCCATCTCTGAGGAAAAAAAACCAGACACCCTGTTTCCAAGATGGAATTGGGTTGTCTTTTTTTTAAGGAGACATGACCATGAAAATAAAAGTATGTTGGATTTCTTCCATGAGCGTGGCAGAGAGCAGTTGTTGTACCCAGTGCTGCATCTTCTTGGCTCTAAACTGATGTTGCATAAAACCCACAAGTGTATTTCTTTGCATTGTGTAAATCTTAATTGGACTATCTCTTTTGAAATTGTCTTGTCAGTAAGTGAAGCTCCCAGCTATTAATAAATCTGTAAAAGATTCTTTTAAAATGTTTGTTCAACTTAATTTTTATTTATTTTGCAAAGAAACTTTCTGTTGGGGCTCAACTCCTTACCTTTGTGGCTGCTTTTTGAGTCAGTTATGTGACACGCTGCCAATGTGTGAGCCAAGTGTCAGTGTGTCAGCAAGGCCATGAGTTCAGACAGAAAGGGATCAGGTGCCTAGCTTGTCTGATATGTGCTTTGGTGTGCGTTCTTCAACTGCTCCATGGGAGAGTTGGGTTTCAGTGTTAAAACCACAGTCCCAAAAGGGAAGGGGTGAAAGGTTAGGCGAGCCCTTGACAACAGGCAATTCAGCTTTGCAGAGTGCACAGTAGAAAGGAGCTCTCCGCACACACCAGCTCCTCCAAAACATATCTACTTCTGATGGGAACTCAAACTAGTACTGAGGAACATGGGTGAGTTTGAGGGGTTCACCGCTTGTGCTGCTCAGTGTTAAGGATGTGCTTGAATGATATGCATGCACCCAATCAGATTCAAACTTTGGGGTCAATGTTTATAAAGTGCCTATGGGAGTTGGGAACCTTTGGCTTTTAGGACTCCAACCCTCTTTGTGAATGTGACTTAGGTGCCTAAGTCATGCAAGCATTTCTGAAAATGTTGCCTGTGGTCTTACACCAAGGTCTAGAAGGCATTGTGGTTGCCTTGCCTAGTGCTGCTAATACAGCATCTGATTATACTAGCACCCTTGATCATGTCCCATAGCCCCTGGCTTCACAAGCAGGCAGACGTTCCAAGGGACTACTTGCAGTGTAATGGCCTGATCCAAAGTCCACTGAAATCAATGGAAAGACTCCTATTGACTTCCCTGGGCTCTAGATCAGGCCCAAACATACTAACAGCTGTGAGTCATCATGGCAAGATCTGCAAATGGAGTAAACAGAATACAGGTTATTAGCCAAGATGGGCAGGGATGATGTCCCTAGCCTCTGTTTGCCAGCAGCTGGGAAGGGTGGACAGGGGATGGATCACTTGATTACCTGTTCTGTTCATTCTCTCTGAGGCACCTGGCATTGGCCACAGTCAGAAGACAGGATACTGGGCTAGATGGACCTTTGGTCTGACCCAGTAAGGCCGTTCTTATGTTATGTAGGTTATGTGCTCTTTAAGTAATTGTCTCTGGATTTCTCTCTCTTTGTAGGTGAGTGTTTTAACTACCTTGGAGCGGCGATTCAACCTGCAGAGCGCTGATGTGGGGGTGATAGCCAGCAGCTTTGAGATTGGGAACCTGGCCCTCATTCTCTTTGTGAGCTACTTTGGAGCCCGAGGGCATAGGCCACGTTTGATAGGATGCGGAGGAATAGTCATGGCTCTGGGCGCCCTCCTTTCTGCGTTGCCTGAATTTCTGACCCATCAGTACGAATATGAATCTGGGGAAATACGCTGGGGGGCTGAAGGGAGGGATGTATGTGCTGCCAACGGGTCCACCAGCAACGAGGGACCAGACCCGGATCTTATCTGCAGGAATAGGACTACCACCAACATGATGTACTTGCTTCTCATTGGAGCGCAAGTGCTCCTAGGCATTGGTGCTACCCCTGTACAGCCACTAGGAGTTTCCTACATCGATGACCACGTGAGACGGAAAGATTCCTCCCTATATATAGGTAAGAGTTTGAAGTTTCTTGAATGCACTTGAGGTGTTCCTGCTATTGCGGCTCATTCTGTTGTCTGGTTTTCCGGCATCAATAGAAAGGATGAATTTGAGGTTCTTCTCTGTGCTTCTATGTCTGTGAAGGTACCTTGGCTTTGGTCTACCAAGAACTAACTACTACAAGAAACATCTCTCTGCCACCTATAACCATTGTGCCCTCCCTGTCCCTTTCCACTTAAAATACCATGGCAGAGAAATGCAGGGGTCTTCGCTCTTAGTAGAGAAAGCTGGTGATGTGTTGTCATCCTTTGGGTTGGCAGTCATAACGAGGCAGTGGATGATTAGGAAAGATGTTCCCTTGGTATTTCTTTTCATAGCAATTTCCCATGTCCCTTAAACTCCAATGATATTGGTCACTTGTCGTTGAGCTTTAGCTGCAGAACATCAAAGACAGGGTGAACATCAAAGTAGCTCATAAGACAGTAATTAACCACCTTATCCAGCATACCCTAGCTGCCTCCATAGCGTGTTAGTTGACATGTCTAATGATTACTCTATGAAGGCACCGGATGCAAGGGGACATTTCTCCTTGCAAGTTTTCTAATAATTCCTTAGAAAAGCTATTCTGAGCACACACCCCTGACAGACAAAGTTCTCTTTGTAGAGCAGGTGCTCCTACTCAGCATCTTGTGGAAAGACCCCAGAAAATGTTACCGATACGGGTGCAGGATGGCAAAGCTGGTAAGTCTATTGTGATCTATGGGGAGTTAGGCATCTAACTCCCAATAGTGGTGATCATGTTGCAAAATTACTCACTCTATCTCAGGCAGCTTGGAGTTAGTTGTATGATGTTACATGTTCAGGGGTAATGCTCGGTTTTGGTTATCAACTGAAATATCCTGGCCTTAGGGTAAAGAGCTCATGGGTTTCTGCGAGGAACCCCTCAGTGACTGTGCTTCAGAAAACTTTGTGAGTGAAGTTGTCCTCTGAAAGCCTCTAGACTCTGTGTCCATCTGTTGTCTATATCTGCTCCATTTCCATAGGACTCAGTAGTAACTAGCCATCAATTCTGTTGGCCCCAATTCAGCAAAGCACGGAGGCATTTGCTTATCTAATTTGCCTGCCTGCCTGTGTTCTTCATGTGTCCCTCAGCATGGTATTTTATTGGCTACAGAAACTTCACCCCCTGACCTACTTTGACTGGAAGCCAAAAGACAATCCCATCAACAAACCACCCTTGCTATGACCTCTCCGGTTGAGTTACCAAATAGAACAAAATATACCTGGCTGGAATCACCACTCGGGTAACCCTGCTCAGCTTCTGTTGCCATTTCTGAATATGTCCCATGATATCAAACTTAGTGAAACAGCGGGGACACCGATCGGATAGGTTGGCTGTTGTAGTCTTCTCCTAGATTAATGCCTCTTGCATCTACTTAAGGTTCCAGCATGTGCACGGCACAGCCCATTCATTCCTTAAGTGGTCATAAAATCATTATTTCAGCATTTAGCTCCGCACGCTGGAATTTTATGCTCTGAGCATTTTACTTGAATTTTGTGTGAGGGTTCCACTGTATAAAGAGGACTGGAAATATATCACTTTGTGTGTAAAATACAGGATAACAAAGGGCCTCAAGGTAAATACAAAGCTGAATTCACTGGAGCAACTCTGTCAATGCCACAAACCAGGAGTTTAAATTAAGTCTTATAACGATTTCAGAATCATTGATCATAAAGAAATATCTTGAAAAATTAGCAATTTGCTTAAGTCAGTGGAGTAGATACATTGGCAAGATAGATATGACAGCTCTGAGATCGGGACTGGGGAGGGGTACGTGCGCAGGGTGGTAAGGAGGAGGTGCTATCAGGAATTTTGTTCGAGACATTAAACTTGCTGCTTTAACATAACCTTTAAAGAGTTGGTGGTTTAACTGATGCTGGGAAAATACTGACAAAACAAAGTCCACTCAACAATCATTTGAATTTCCTCATAAACTTGCTTCCCAACTGTTTTGGTTTTCACTTTTTGCAAACAGCGTGTTTTTGTTAAACTGGCATGAATGTTCATGAAAACTCATTCCTAGCAGTTCAAAATGTGATTATTTGTGCCAGAAATGTGTGTGCACTTATTCAGTCGGGGACCAGCAGTATCAATGAGTAATTTCTGACCCATCGCATCCATGCATCACAACTTGGCTTGTTAAATACTGTTTATCGAATGCTTTCTTCAGACTGTGATCAATTCATAGAGTAAAAGAGTGAAAATCATTCTCTGAATAAATATGAATATAAAATAAACAAGAAGGAATCTGGATCTGCTTTGTATTTGTCACTAGCAGGAAGGAAGGTTAAATTCTTCAGATAAAATACTGATTGTGAATTATTTGTTCAGCTTTTAATTTAGTTGACTTTTTCAGTGATGTCAAATGATGGAATTTTCAGTGACCTTGGCAAAAAGACCTTGGTTCATTCTCCATTGTGTTATACACCCTCAGTTATTCCCTGTTTATTGTCACTATGCAGTACTTTATACCAACCTTCTTCTCCTATAATAAAGTGTTCACTCTGTAGGGGCTGTGCTGTATGCATCCAGGATAAGAGATTCCTGGGATAAGTTCTATAATTTTAAATCAGGAGTAAAGTGAACACAGATTACTGCCATAGGAGAGAAACTAATTAATAATGATAGTCCAGACAGTCATGTTGTCACATTAGACAGCTGCAAAGAGATGATCATTTCTTGGCCAAACTATGTAACTTTTGCCATATGGCTCACTTCAATAATGTACAAATTGTGTCTGGTCTATGATTTTGCTAGGCAAAGCATTTATCTGACTCCTAGGTATTAGTTAATATCTGCTCACCCCTGACTTGACCAGAAAGGATAAGAATTCCTTCAAGAGTGCTCATACAGTGAACTGGATGGAACTGTCCTCGTGTACTGTGTCTATTTCTATTCATTCATGTTGCACAAGAGTGAGACATTCTGGCAAGTAACTGTAGAAGGTGTCTAATGCCACCTATCTAGTGAGAAACTGACATTTGGGAAACGCTTGTGGTGGGGAAACTCCACCATAATATGAGGTGTGGGGGGCAGGGGGGGAGTGGAGCATGGATTTGAAAACTATCATGAAACCTGATAGAATTAAGGGAAGGATAAACAAATTAGGAATGTAACTGTGTGAGCCTCAGGGCTGGAAATTTGTTACTACATAATGATACAGATATTGCAGTTCACGGGCCATCCATTCCTGGTGTAACTCCACTGAAGGCGATGGAGAAAAGGATGAATTTAGACCATTCTGTCTAGGCTCAAAACCTTCAAAGACTTATGCATATGCTTAATTGTACCGTCTCCGTGAATAGTCCCATTGGATCTAAAATACAAACACTTTGCAAACTTAGTGTATTATAGTCCCACAACATTTAGATATGTCATTACATGCACATATGAAGTTATGTTTAATTAGCTACCCTGACCACAGCTGCATGTACAATTGTGAAAAGTGTGTGTCCTAGTTAGAGCCCTGATCCAGCAGTTGGATCCATGCGGGCAGATCCTTGCGCCTGTGCTCGTCATCATGGACTTCAGTGGGATTCCATGTGGGTCCCGTTACAGGTTTAAGAGTGCAAATTTATGCATGCACAATTTCCCCCCCTCCACTTTTGTAAAATCTGACACATGGCGTTGGGGAGAGTGTCCAAGGCCCTGACTTGGCAAGATACATAAATATGTGCCTAACTTTAAGCATGTGTGTATTCCCATTGAAATATGGGACTTCTCGGGTGGTTAAAGCTGGGCCCATGTATATGCACCTTGCTGAGCCAGGGGTGGAGCTTCTTTGGATTTCATCCTCGCAAAGAGCGAGGGGTGAAATGCTAACAGAAGGATATCTCATCGGGATCGGCTCCTGCTATGTTATATTTCAAATTTCTAGAGACAGTAGCAGTGCTTTGGGTTTATGATGCATGCAACATGTTGCTTCCAATCGCAAACAGACTGTTGCTGAAGTAACCAGCCCTAGGAAAATAAGAAGGAGGAACTTAGTGGTAACTGAAGGAATATCAAATCAGAGATCCCCACTCCATACAAGGATTCTTAAAAGAAAGACAGTTTTGCCTTAACATAGACAAGGCTTTGCTGTCTCTTGATATCTTTTCCTACTAATGACGGGATACAAGTTCTTTCATTTCATCTACCAAGAGTTCATTTAGCTCAAAGGTCATGACAATAGCAAAGGGAGCCAAAGAGATTTAAAAAAACAAAAAACCTGTTAGATCATTGAGGTTGTGAAAGGCATTTGATTCAGAGCTTGTTTATTTGCTTTTTTTTCTTATCCAACATCATACTGTTTCATCTCTTTAAAACAAATCTGATTTCCTCTCAAAAGATTCCAAGCCAGGGAGCAGTTCCAAAGCAGTTTACCTACTTTACATGTATGTTTCTCTGTAGTCATCATAAAGAAACAATTTTGGATGGGGAATTCCCCCCAGGGGAACCTGCATAGCTCATTATTCCTCTACCTTCACTGACAGTGACGCTTCCCTCATGATATCCATTTTTTCCAAACGGTAAATTATTTCTATAAAATAAATGTTAACTTCTAAATAGTGTGATTCTCTCCCATTACCCCTGCTAACAGCTTTTATTATGAGGAATTCTGTGTTTATACTGTTCTGCTGCCCATGGGTCTGATCTTCACTACTGAAGCCAATGGGGATTTTGTTACTAGAAGGATTGGATGCCATATGGGACATATAGTATAATTGGGGAAAACATATTTATGTAAGTCCCTGTTTATCGTTTTAAACTTGCTGCCTTCTGGAGGAGTGTTTTGTGATCATTAAACATCCAGCAGTTTAGACATTAATTTGTATATCTTGGCAAAATTCCATCTTAAAGTAAAATAAGCCATCTCCCTAAAGTCCTTCTGCGTGACAGTGGATGAAGGTTACTTAACTGTTGCATAAAGTTGCCATTAAAGGCTGCCCCATTTCACCCCAGTAATTGTT